TAGCTAACTAAAAATTTAAAACCACATTTTGATTGATATTATACATTTCAACGAATTATAAGTCCCCAGTGGTTTTAAGAATAAAAAAATTTTTGTTAGTTACGGCCCTTTTGCGTTTCAGCGACGAAGTACACAAGGCCTTTCTACATTAAGAACGATATGCATGCATTATTAATGTTTTTATTTAAATATGTACATATGTATGTATGTGAATAATTGTAGTAAGTCAAACATTCTGAAAAATGCACATCACCGTTTAAAGTAAAAAATCGCATACCGTCACTCTGCAAAACCACGTATCTAACATTTGTGCCAAAAAAAGATATTTGATCAACGGCAGCCCCTGGTATCAAGCCTTTCCATTCGTACGCTATGGTGGTCCAATAAAACTAAAGTCGGAATTTCCATATCAAAAAATATACCCCTATTTTGTGATTTTGAAATAAAAAATATTTGGAAGTCGCTCAAAGGGGTTAAAGCTTTCCAGGTATTTTATATGGGGAAAAAAGAACTTTTCATAGAAATGGCACAGAATTCTTGTAAATCAATAACTTACCATCGGAAAACTCTGTTTCTCTTCATGAGAGTTGCAATAATAATATTCAATGGTTTTCTTAACCATTTTTTAGTACTAAGGTTTTCATTGGTCCCCCCAGTTTCAACTTGGCCTAATTTGATTTTGATTTTTGGCCACTGTGCGCCATTCAAAATTAAGAAAAAATTCTTGCACGGAAATACTCATAAGATAGACCACATGTATGTATATATGTGCATTAGGGTGGTCCAAAATACAAAGGAAAAAAGTTTTTTGCAATCATTAAAAATTCATGTTTTTTTCAACGAATAAGGATATTTTCCTACGAAAATCTTAAAAAAAATTATAATATGTACATAAATATTTCGAAAGTACTGCATAAAGTACATCCACTCTAATATCAAGATTCTTCTTGCGCTAATGAAAAACATTTTCCAAACGCTTAGTACAAGGTTTAAAGCCGCATAGTCTAAGCAAAATAGCAAACTCTTGGGTAATATGGAGCAAAATAAAAAATATTCATCAAACAAATTTTCATTTTTGGGCACTTTCGGTGCGCGCTTCCGACCCCAAAAGATGACTTTATTTTAAAACCATTTGTAATTACGTTAAATTAGTCAGGAATTACGCTATAAAAATGCGGTCCTCAAAACTTACTTAAACTGTATCACACGATTTGTACCATTGGCAGTCACAGAGTGGTGTGTCTAAAATTTTTATCGAAAAGAGTTCACTCAAAAGAACAAATTCCAAACAACCCACTCTCTAAATTTAAAAACGTAAAAATCTGTACAAATGTATAAATGTATAAATCGTGTGTCCGCGCTTAAGAAGTATTCCGGCTCTGCTCTAAAATGTATGTATGTATTAGTGTTGCCAGATTTTTTTTCCAGCCATACGGGACAAACGCATAATTTGTCCCAAAAATACGGGATTTATAAAAATAGATGCGTGAAAAGGTAAGATTTGCAAAGGCTATTTCAATGAAACAATGTTAAGATTAGAAAAGCTTATGATAAATTTCGCTTAATTAATGAAACACTTTTTAATTTATACAAAAATATGAATGTACGTAACATATAATTGACAATACGAGTAAAACAAAGTAAGAGATACAGTTGCGGTCAAATTAATAGCAGCAAAATTAAAAATTACCTGTTGAAACTTATCTTTATTTATTCTTGTAATAATTTTATTTAAATATGGGTCGATGATCTACAAACCACATATAAATCCACAAAATTCACAAAAACTAATTAAACTAAAAAAAAATCGGTTTTGTTAATTAGATTTCCTATAAAGATTTCGAGTATGTGGTTTTATACCCATTCAATTTTAGTATACTGCAAGTGCAAGTTTAAGTCGCTAAAAGTTATTATGGATTTTTTTGTTTTTTTGTGGTGCGTGTTGCGATTTTTTTATTTAAAAGTCAGTTTTGTGCATGCGTTATATGAAAGAAAATTCGCAACAACCCCAACAAATAAAATATTCTAAAAAATCAATGGTAATTTTTAGCTAAATTTCTCTTACTGAGTTGCATGAAATAATGCTTGCTAATGAGCTACTCACATAGCCGCGTTAAAACATGACCATGTTGACTAGAAGTTTACAAGTTGAAAGGAAATGAAATTGTCGAAAATTCGGAAAAAATCTTGTCCGGCGGAACATTCAAATTTAATCAAAATATGGAACGTCGGCAAATACGGATATTTGGAACGCTAGTATTTATAGTATATGGTCAATTTTTAAAATATCGTTTCGGTTTAACGCTCCCATCTTCAGCATTACTAAGCTAATACGGTAGACAAACGCTCGATTCTGTAGCTTGTTAAAAATAATTTTAGAATACCATTTGCAATAACTTCCAAACAAAATTTTATTTCTTACAAAAAAAAAAGTTGCGGAACAAACACTGTTAGAGACTAGATATTCTGCCCAAATCCACAATAAAATCTAAAATTTTTAACTTTGGTCCTAAAATTGTCACGCCCATTTCTAGGGTTTTCCGATAAAAAAAAACATTTTTACTGTATATGTAGGTATTTAACCGTAATAAAATTTCCACAATTTTGACACCTTGCTAATTAAATTTGGTAGGTATAAAAATACTCGATTTAATGAATTTTTCGATTTTACGAATTCGGCGGGCAACATAAGTTTCGTTATACATATTCGACAACGAACTGTATATGTATGTATGTGTGTTTATTATTTTTATAAAAACAAATTTATGGCATTTTTTATGTAGCGTGCCACCATTTAGAACTACAAACTGCAGAGCTCTTCACCTTCGAATAGATTTAAGCGAATGTAAACAAATAGTCAGAGGAGTGAGCAAAATGCCAGACAGTCCAACAGTTAAATAATAAATAGAAGTCATGTGACTTGTATGCGTTCCATGTGCCATTCACTCAATTGAAATAAACTAATAATATTGCACTCAAGCAAGTTAACGCTATTGCTATTCTATTGAAATTTGCGGCTTCATGCAATGGTGTCGACACACATGCATACGCTACCACCACATTTTATTGTTGATGCAACGTGCGGTTGGAAAACGCAGCTTCATCCGCATGTGATGCATTTTGATGATGAACGTCACCGCTAAACGATAGCCAATGTCCGATTCTATTCATATTTTGCTTGACTGGGCCTGTTGTTCTGTCTTGTCGTGTAGGTTGTGACACACGGCCGCTATTTGCAGTCCATTGGTAGAAGCGTCCAGTACGTTTGCGGCAGTTATATTTGTCCATACATACATATGTATGTAATTGAATAATGTTACTATTTTTAATGCGTAAACTAAGTATAAGAAATATTCATACTTGCATACATGCATACATAACTTCATATTAATTATTATTATTTTTGTATTTGCAGTCCACCGGGAATGAGGATCCAAACGAGGTTTACTTGGATTCGGAAATGGAAAAAGTTTTCGCCGGTCCAAGTGCGCACAAGGAAAAGTTCGATGTAACGACATTTCAGGACGCGAATCAGCCGATTGGTTCGTACAAGCAGAGTAATGGTAATTGAGATTGTCTGAGATTAATGTTTATTTTCGTATACAATTTAATTAGATACTTTTGTCGTGATTTTGACTCAAATTTAACGTAAAACCGCAGTTTGTGGATGAAATACAAGTTCCAAAGACAAAAACTAAATACGTACGTACGTACGTAATAAATACGTCCTCAAAAAGTCAGAAACTATTTCCAAACGTCAAAAACAAATAAAGAGCAAAAACTAATTCAAATATGTACTTATCGTCGCCTCGGTAAAAGATTGTCGTAAGCGTCATACGTACGTGTGTAACATACGACAATCTTTTACCCAGGCGACGTTATGTTAGAAATTGTAAAAGACAACACATGGCAAATAGATTTTGTTCGAAAGCAAGTTAAGCATAAAAATAATTAAATACAAATTTGCTACAATATTTCTTATGAATGTAATTCTTTGATGGTAGTAAAAATCACCTGGACTTGCCCATTATCATTACAGTGCATCGTAAAAGTGAACTGAATATTGAAGAGGATTCTGAATATGAAAGCACAACTGACCCCGTCAATCCGCAAAATTATGATGACATACCCGAAGACTATCCATTAGTATCCGAGCGCGCGGGACACGGCGATCATTCGGTAAGTGCACAGAATTTCAGTAATGGACTTTTAGGAGGATATAGTCGCAAATAATTTCCTTTTGTTTTTAACTGGCAATGAAGTATCTCTGCGAACCATCTTCCCCAGTGAACTCAAAAATAGTGTTTAGTGCATCAGGTAGCATTTAGGTTGAAAATAAAAACGGGTTCTTGACCGGTAATTCGGAAATGCTTCTTTTCGTAATAAAAAATATATAAATTTTTGACTCTTAATTACTAATTAGATACTAATAAATTTGATTATAGAAATTAAAAAAAAAAATTGAAATTAGATTAGAATTTGGTTAGACAGACTTAGAGCCATTTCAACAATATAATAGTGGATTCTCTGCCCATTTACACTTTCGCATTCCCAAAACATTCGTATAATTCGCATACCGAATGTGAATGCAAATATTCGCAACATCCCTGATCTGTATACATACATACAGATATAATAAAACTATTGCCGATTTCACTTAAAAACTACTCAATTGATTTTAATGAAATTTTAAAACTAAATTTAAAATTTATTGTTGTTTCAGGTAGGTCCGATTTGCATGAAATTTGCTACGTAGATAACTTATTGCCTACACTCAAATACATGACCAATTCCATCTCAAATCATGCAAGGCGACTGCACCTACACTTAGAGAAGGAATCAAGGTTTTTCGTACTCGATCCTAGCATTTCCGAACTTAAAATCAGACTAAGATTGAAAATACTAAAATAGATTACAAAAATCTGATATTAAGTGTGATATTTTTGAGTACCAAATACCGTAATTAAGATCATGCAAACTTAAAAAATTAAGCATATATCATTAATTTTTTCATGCGTCTCTTTGTGGAAATATTGTTCATATGCATACATCAAACATTCTATGTCGAAATGTGAACGGTTGTGATAACTAACCCAACCTTTTCCTTTATAATGTTCCTTAAAATTAAATACTCGTAGTCATAATAAAAAAGCATCACATTTGATTTGAGTACGAAATTCTTATTTAAAGAATAAAATATTTAGATTCCATATACTTAAATCGAGTTAGTTTATTCTTATTTTTAGGCCGACATTTTTTCCTCAGTGTATCTCTCCAAATCACTAGAAATTTTAGTATATTATTCTACTTAGACATCAAAATTATGTGTTTCAGGCACTTTTGAAAAATGCAATTTTAATTGGTGTTTGAAAATAATTGTGTATATATTCGATGCTATCGCTGATGTTCCTTCGATCGGCCGCTTTAAAACTTTTTTTACAAAAAAATAAATAAAGATGTAATGGCACTTTTCATAAAAAATTTAAAACCAATTTTTTCAGAAAGGCCTTTTCTTTGGCTACATTTTTTAAGGATAGCTTACCTCAATTCCTATATTTTGATATATTTGGCATTTAGGTTATTTTTGTTTTTTAAGAGATTTAAAAAAAATTAAAAATATATATTTTTAGCCTAGTCAAGTTAGCTCATTAAATAAGGGTAAGCTTACAATAACTCGCATTGAGCTCAAATTTGGTACCAATGCTTGGCATGCCATTGTAAATGAAATGTAAAAAAGCTTTATTGAGCTAACTTGACTGGGCTAAAAATATATTTTTTTAATTTCTTTTAAATCTCTTAAAACACAAAAATAACCTAAATGCCAAATAAATCAAAATATACGTATTGAGGCAAGCTATTAAAAAAAATAAAAATTTGCCAAAAAAGATAGCCTTTTTGAAAAAATTTAATTTTTTAATTTTTTATGAAAAGCGCAAAGACATCTTTACTTTTTTGTAAACCAAAATTTAATAGCGGCCGATCGACGGAACATCAGCCATATTTGCAATTGGTTGATGGGCGGTTTTGCAAAAACATCGACGATATATAATTATTTTCAAATACCAATTAAAATTCGAATTATAATACAAAAAATTTTGATTTGAGAGAATTGAAAATTTTTGAGTAATTTTTCAAAAGTGCGTGAAAAACGTAATTTTGATGATATCGACAAATAAAAAAAATACATATGCGCTTATTTTTCGAGCAGAATAATCAAGTGATTCAGAGAGATAGGTGCAGTCGATTAAGAACTCTAGTTACTTCAATTTAAGGCTCATGCAATATTTTCCCTTATATCTCTATACTATCACATACATACATATTATTTTATATTATTTTAGTAAGAAGCTATTTAGCAACAAACTCTCTTTTGTACTAATAGTTTAAACCATCTATCTATCAACAGGATAATTCCGCCGAAGAAAAGCAAGTACATTTTGGCAAAAAGAAGGCTGTAGTTTCTCCGCCCACTTTAGTCTACGATGAACAACCCGCTGACAATATACATGAGCGTAAACGACGAAGAAGGTAATTTTCTACTTACATACATTTATATGTGTACATATCGCACACGATCTTCAAAAGTGACACAACTCAAAATTTGGATTTTTTTAAATAATGCACTAAAACTGTACACAGAGCTTTTATTTACCTTTAAGCAAAAGCTGCAGCAAATTGTTGTTATAATTTGTTGAGAATACCTAAAGTAAAGTCTGCCTTGCCAATATGATTAGCATGTGCTAGGAAATAGTTTTTCACAGTTTCTGACGAGTTGTGTCACTTTTGAAGAATTTGTGCGATATGTATGTATTTATATCAGCGCTGTCGTTTGCTAATTTTCGAGCGAAGTGAAAACACACTAAAAGTGAAGTGATTATCGAAGTGATGACTTTCTTGCACAATTAGGGGTGTGGTGTTTTTCGATTAGACTATTTATCACCTGATTGGTTAATCGATTTCTTCTTTTATTACAACAAAAATAACGTTTAACCGTTATTAATTTATAATTTATTGCGTTCCTGTGCAAATTTAGTACTGGAATATCTTTAAAATCACAATATCTAAAACTTTGAGGAAAGAAAATCAAAAATTACAGTTCACTGATGATACTAACACTAAAAATTAATTTATCGATTATCGACAACACGTCATCACGAGATTCACTTACGACTCGTTTACATTAGGCAATGTTGTCAAGACGATAAGGAAACGCGTATTAGTTGTTCAAAACGCAATTAATTTTGATTAATTATTTTTTTTTTAAATGAAAGCTAATAAAATTTTCAAGAACTAGTTCAGCCCAATTTTTAATTTTTAATTTTTTTATATTAAAATTTTTAGTGCAAAGTGCAAAAAAAGTGCCAATTTTGAAGAAGATCGATTCTCCTGTTCCAGTCAAACAAAGATACATAATAAAAACTAGTTAAAGACAATTTTAGGGTTCTCCCAAAATGAAAAAAAAATTAAAAGTAATAATTTGAAAAGTTATAATGTTCACCAAAAATATTTTTTTTTTGTTTTTCGTTTCTATACAAATTTTGGGTATGCAGTTTTATATATCATTAAATTTTAGTATAATAAAGCGCAAGTTGCAAGTTGCTAATAGTTCGCATTGATTTTTAATAATTTTTTCAACTAGTCTCTTGCAAATTTTATTAGCTTTCACTAACAAAAAAAAAAATATCAAATTGGTTGAGAAATGAAGGCTCCGGTGAATTATGAACATTAAATCCCATTTATTAACCACTGTGCGACGCCAGGTCGGATATTTATTAGGCGTATTTTTAGTAGTAGTTTATGCGAAAAGCTACTCTGCCATATTTACTAGNCGAAAAGTGAGTTTGCGCACATCAGCAAAGTTCTTACGAGTATGCTACATTTGTTGTGCGTTTGTAGTTATATTATGGGCATTCATTTAAACGCGTAAATGCCTCGTAACCACGTAAACCTCGTAAATAAACCGGTTGTTCATGCAAAATTAAATGAGTTCACGAGGTTTATGTGCTTACGAAGTATTTACGCGTTAAGATAATTCCTTCCCGCATTGGGTTTGTATGTAAAAATTATTACACACCAAGTTAGGGCAGCTATAATTGCTGGCCCCAAATGAGGACCCTGAGCAAAAAAAAAAACTCTTCCTTCAAAAGGTATAGTCGAACTCTACCTCTTTCAAATCATTTTTACATTTGTATACTCATTCAATTACAGAGGAAGACTTAGTTGATGCTCTCTTGTAATACATACAAAAATGGAATTGCATAAACCATAATAAAGTTGAGATCAAAAAAACATTTTCACTGAAAGAACGTATTTATACACATAAAGCATTTCATTATATACATACGTATGTCATTAGAACATAACTGCGTTTAAAGTATGTATATTAAGGTGGTCCAAAAACAGTAACGTCAGAATTGTAATGCTCTCACCCCGAAGGATTGTTTTATACCGAAAAAAAGTATACCCCTATTTTTTTATTTTGAAATTAAAAAAAATTTAAATGTCGCTCAAAGCGCTCAAAGTTTTCGATGTATTTTTTTTGTGGGGAAAAGCACATGGTAGAGAATTCTTTAAAATCAACCTTATTCACAAAAAAATATATATATATATATTTATGTATATGTATTTCCTATGTAACTTGTTTAACGGTTGACAATTTTTTGTAATTTTTGTAATTTCAATGCGTAGTGGACATTCAGCATTAATTAATTCCCAAATTTATCATTTAAATTTTCGTCCATTAACGCCCACTGGAAGTGTTTTGATTTTACACTAGAATTGTAATGTAGTTCTCGAATCTAAAATCAATTTAAAGAACTATGTTATAATGCGATTAGAGGATGATTATAAAAACATTAGACATTGGAAACCAATTAGAATTCAACGTTAGAATACGATTAGATACCTAACCTCTTTCTCGATATTGAGAACTATGTTCTTTATGTAGAGAACGCTATAATAATTGACAGTTTTTCTAGTCTTCTTCTTACCTTCCTCTTAGAAAAATATTAGATTTCGAATCGTTTTCTAATATTTCTCTAATCTAAATGTTGCTTGGGTAACTATTTTTTATAGATCCCAAAAAACCCAGAGAAATACAATGGAGGGGGGCCCATAAAAAATTGTTATTATTGAAAAATGGTTAAATAAAGAATTGGGTGTTATAAATGGAAGTTTTCTGAAGACAAACTAAGAAATATTGTTTTTCAAGAATTATATACCACTTATGCGAACAATTGTTTTTTTTTTCATATAAAATTGTACTTGGAAAACTTTAAGGACATTGAGCGTCCTCTAAATATTTTTTGATTTCATAATAAAAACGAGTGATATGTTTTTCTGGTATAGAACAATTCAGTGGGTGAGAGCATTAAAATTTCGACTTTACTTTTTTTACCACCCTAATGCACATATAGACATAATAGTTGTGTTCGATAACAAAATTAGCCAACACCAGCCAACAATCAA